TTGACTGAAATCATTAGTAAAATTATCTCCCTTGGTGGAACTCTCCTTAATTAAAGGAAGTAAAAGTATGACGTCTAATGGCAGACGAAAAGATGAGATGTGCATTTGGTGACAACTGTGATGAAAAAACCCTGGTTTTGTTAAAAGAATGTAAAAAAGATACAGCTGCCCATCTTAGATACTTGAAATGCAACACAGAAGACATTATTATCCCAGAGAGTGTCCTAATACGAAATCGTGCAGGTGATATGGGACTTGGCTTGTCTAGTTTATATCAACATGTATGTGCCTATCACAGAAATATTTTCGGGCTTTACTGGAAGAGGACCAAAAGGACCTGTTGTCATCCACTTCACCATAACAATCAATCAAGTATGATCGCTCGAGGACTCAATATTGTACAAAGCCGAGAAATATGGCTAAAGTTGAATTTGGTTTTGCCAATTGGTTCGGGTAAGATTTTTATGTATATTTATTTATCAATTTTTAGTAAGTTACAGACGGAATTGTTTTTTGTAAAACCGCCTAATTAGCCTAAATAAAAAAGCATGCAGAAAACGGTACTATACATAATATCAGGGTTGTCAATACCGGTAACTGAATAAGAAGCGAAATAGAAGGTGGCATCCTAATATGAGAAGGGTGTCTAAATGGGATACTCCCCCTATAAATGTAGAAGGGACAAGGTTGTCAGAATAATCTGAGAATTACATTCATACCCTTTTATCCCATGGATATAGCTTATGTGATATTGTTTTCATATCCCACAGTTTTGATGACACAATAGGTTTCACGTTAGCATAAATGATGATGAAGTAAAATAAAGTTGTGTCCTATATAAAAACAGTGTAAAATATTGATTGTTGAGATTTTGAGTATAAAACAAAATGTAAACACTAATGGGATAAAAAGAGTCTCACATAATTTGTAATTAAATATGATTTTTATCCAACTCGTGCTTTTTATTCCCTTGTCAAGGCTGAGATGAAATCCTATATGTACATGTATACTATAGCTGGGACAATTCCGTAACCCTTAATTAGGTCTTTAATGGACAACCCTTTGATATCCTAAGAATCAGCGGCTATCAGCCTTGTTTTAATTCTATAACGTTTGTGTGAAACATCTCTACAGAAATTTAGGTATAACGTATAGATATGTATATGCATAATATTCTATTATCACAGAGATATGAACATTTCATTTCTGATCATGCTGTTTTATAGGTGTATGCAGAAGATGCATAGAAACCCACAAAAAAGAAATCAGTATGGGGGTAGATCTGAAGGAGGAGCTGAAAGGTAAATATACTGTACATATTTACTTGTATATATACAATTTATATATATATATATATGCTTTTATTTTTGTATTATTATGTCAAGGATGTAAATACTTTAGTCAAAGTAAGAGTCTATATGTAAATATGTACATTTCCAATTAATTTTCCCTATAATTCTTTACAAAAAAAATGCTGTTCATTTTCTCATGAACTACATTAGGTATGTACCACGAATAAGCATAAATATCTCCATTATTACATCATCATATAATACCGCTCTTGACATCAGAAAATATTTACATTACATATATTTTTTGCATATAAAATGAATGGAAATCAATTGCATTCAAAACACCATAACACAGACAGGGTACCAAGGGGTTAAAACATGCGTTTTAGTGTGACGTCATAATCGTTGAACGCCGACGCGCTAACACGCGTTATTCAATTTGTTTGCACACACCGTTGCAGTTATGAAACTATATCACTCAAAAAATAATGATTCATTGCTTAAATATAGTGCACATGTTTTGTTTTGAAAATGACAGTTGAACCGCTTAAATTTATGGCAAATTATCAGAAAAATAATGTAAATATAAGAAATGAATTAAATTTTTTTAACATTTATGAGGTATATAAACTACAACACTTCACGTCGGCATATTTATCATGAAGCGCTAATTCATTTCTTAAGTGTATATTTTATTTATGATTCATTGATAGTATTGGTATTTGGTGATCTACAATAAATATGCAAACCTTACATAGTACATACTATTATAAATTTACACATTAAATATTTAACTGAAATTAATTGCAAGTAGCCAAGTATATGTGTTTAATTCATAATTTAGTTTACTGATAATAAAATAGTTAAATTAAAATACCTTACCAAGTAAGCAGAATAACTCCTATTTATATGGAAATATTACAACATCATTCTTGTACTTACTTCTGCATGTCACTTACCAGGGTTTTATCAAAAAAGATTGAAAATATTACTTCATTCAAAAAATAGTAAAAAGTTAATGTTTCTTTTCCAGAAATGTGTACCTTGCTTGAAAAGTCAGCAAATGAATCAAACAACACAGGTACTTTAGTATTATATTCTTTATTGATTGATTGATTGTTGATTGTATAACGTCCCTCTTGAGAATTTTTCAATCATATGGAAACGTCACTGTAAACCGGTGAAGGGCTTCAAATTTTGACCTTTACTCGGCACTCATGGCCATTGAGCAGTGTCAGAGGGATCTTTATCGTGCCAATGCCTGTGGCTGACAAGGGGCCTCGGTTTTTAAGGTCTCATCCAAAGGACCCGCAACTTTCACTTCAAAGTGCCGAGTGCATGGCAAAGGAACAGTTGCTACCAATTTTAACGACTAGGTCAGTCGCAGTCGAGATATGAACTCACGACCTCCGAGCGAGCGCTGTACCTTTATATTCTTGAAGATACAGCATAAATTGATAAAAATATAACATACATTGTATAAAAGTATATAAAATCAGTGTTTCATTTATCTCAAAATGAATTTGAAATATTTAATGTATGTATCATATATTTTCCACACTAGTGAATAAAATATATGTACATGGTTTTTGTGATCATGCAATTCAAATGACACACAAGCAAATTCAAAAATTGTGGTCCCCCGCTTTCGGTGTTTTTTTTTGGTGAGATTTCATTTTTTAAAATTTTTTAATGACATTTTGTGTCTAATATGAACGCCCTATCATAAGTCATAGTCAAAGTTAAAGTTCTCATGATTACAAAAAATCTCCAAGGTGAAAAGGTCAAGGTTGTTGGTATCAAATGAAAGTTCTTGCCACAAAGAATACATATGTGAAATATGAAAGTCCTGGTATCTACTGCTCAAAAGTTGTGGCCAAGGTCAAAGTTTTTGAGAAGTAGGTCAAACTCCAAGGTCAAGGTCCAAGGAGCAAAGTTCTTATTATTCAATGAAAGGTCTTTTCACAAGAATATATTTATGAAGTATGAAAGCCTTAGCCCTTACCATTTAAAAGTTATGGTCAAGGTTAAAGTTTTTTCACAAGTATGGAAATTTCCAAGGTCAAGGTCAAAAGGTAAAAGTTGTCGGCATCCAGTCTGGTCTTGCTACAAAGAATACATATGTGAAATATGACAGTCCTAGTACATGTACATACCATTCAAAAGTTATGGCCAAAGTAAAAGTTTGGAATTTTTGTGTAAAAGTGGGTCAAACTCCAAGGTCAAGGTCAAAAGGTCAAATTAGGTGGTACCCAAAGAAAGGTCTTGTCACAAAGAATACACATATGAAATATGAAAGTCATAGCTCCACTGAATCAAAAGTTATGGGCAAGGTTAAAGTTTTTGTGACGGACGGACAGACTGACGAACATAAGGACAGATGAATGAGATTTAATGTCCCCTTGCTTTTGCAATAACGGGGAACAATTAACAGAATTTGTGCATGTACTAATTATTATTGTATAATGTTAATATAAAAAGTAATCATGATCATGATGATATATAGACACATATTTGAGACTTGATAGTTGATAAACACAAAATCCCTGAGAACAGTTTACATGAAGTAATTCAAGTTAAGTCAAAAAGGATGTGACTTATAAAATGTTAATTTAAGTTTAGTCCATAGTCCCAGTTTTAGGCTTTATTAAACGATTCATTAAAAACAAAAACATGCATCATGACCTTTTCAATTATTTTACAGAGCAAAGAGACAGTAATGTGGAGCAAATGGAAGTAACTGTAACAGAAAGTACATTTATATTACCTATAGGTAAAAAAAAAAAAATTAAACAATTTAACCCCTCTTGAAAAATTGTAGTCAACTATCCAGTGTATATCAATTATTTTATAAATAATTTGTACATGCAGGCAAAGGCAGGATAACAATGTATATCAATGTTTATATGTAAATACATTTTTTATACATGTACTTGCATGTCACAATGTAAGATTTACTAGTACCTTTCACAATTTAGTTAATGAGTGTCCTTGATTAAACAAGTACATGTATTGTAAGTCTTAGATTAAGGTCAATGCAGATATATCTGAGTGTGTAAAATCCTTGATAATATAAGCATATTCTTCCATTTTTCCCATCTGGATCATAGTACATTGTACAGGAGTAGGCGTCTGAAGTTTTTATTGTCTAAAGAAAAAAATCCAGAAAAAAAATTCCCACCCTCAGATAAATTTTTAGTTGAGAGTGGGATATTTTTTTCTGGTTTTTTTTTGTTTTTGTTTGTTTTTGTTTGTTTTTTTTTTTGTTTTTTGTGACAATTAAAAACTTCTGACTCCTGTGATCATAGCACCACAACCAAACATGCTTATGAGAAAAGTGACCTTGAGCTTGAGCTAAATTTCAAAGTCAAAGTTTAAGGACATGAATCTTTTCTGAAAAGGGGTATCATCTAAATGATTACTTGCAGTTGGATCCATTTTTATATTCTCTAAATGATTGTAAATATATGTGTATATTTTCTGTTTCAGTGAGTGGAAATGATGCAGTTGTAGATCAAAATTTTGAGTCTGAAGTTTCCTTGTCACAAGTTACAGATTCAGGTATCAACCTATACAAATATGGCTTAATTTACTAAATAAGGTCAAAAGTCTTCATCAGCATTCATGTACATGTCTCTTTCATCATAATACTGTAAATCACTTTTTATTTGTGAGAACTTTATTTTTGCGTAATTATGTGAGACAGTGTGCTCGTGAAAATTTGATTCTTGCGTACAATAGCATTCCTTAAGATTATATAGAGCAATAACCTCAATTCAATAATTATGTTTTGCTAATAAAGAGTCAATGACTTTCTCGCGAAAATAAGATGTCGTGAAAGTTTAGCAATCTACAGTATCCTTTAGTTTACTAAATGTGGATCTTTTTTGAAAAGGGATATCATTTCAATTATTATACTTTAAGTTGGGTCCATTTTTATATTCTCTAATGATTGTAAATATATGTGTATATTTTCTGTTTCAGTGAGTGGAAATGATGCAGTTGTAGATCAAAATTTTGAGTCTGAAGTTTCCTTGTCACAAGTTACAGATTCAGGTATCAACCTATACAAATATGGCTTAATTTACTAAGGCCAAAAGAAAATATACTCTTATTTCCTGTCCCCTGGACAAAAAAATAGGGTAGGTAGGGAAAAAAATTTATTTTGAGATTTTGTTTTTTTCAAAACTCAATGATTGCAGAACACATAGCATGTAATAATGATAGAGCAGTTTATTAACAGTTTACAAAACAAGTTTGTCAATAAAGATTTATATAGTAAAATTACCCTTTACACTTGTGACAGTATTTTCTAGATTCTCTCTAATGAAAACAGGGTAGATATTCAGAAACAGCACACTTCTTTATCGCAAACATGCACTTTTGATAGGTCTGCCAAAGTTTTTTGTTCAAATGCCTCAGAGATTCATCTGCAAAAACATTAAATATAGTTGGTTGAATTTAGTATTTCTGTTAAATAGCCAAAATCAGGTCGGGTGACAGGAAATGAGTACATGTATTTATTTGTTTTGGCCTAAATAAGATCAAGTTTCTTGATCAGTGTACTAATCAGTCATGGATTATAATCAAACCTGATTGTATTGAATAGGTTGTTTGTTTACAGAGCTAAAATTTACATGAACTTTGCTGATCAGAGAGTGCCCAACATCCATCTGTCTGTTATGTTGTAATACCAATCTAATTAAAATTAGATGTTAGATCCGCTCGCAAACTCGCTACGAGTTTGCAAGCGGATCTAACATCTAATTTTAATTAGATTGGTTGTAATACTTTTTTTTTTTACAATTTAGAGGGGAGATAATTAAGGAACAGTATAGCTTTACAGCATCATTTAAAAATCTTCTCAAGAACCAGAAAGAAATCTCCCACTATTCTTTGGCCCTTTGTGCAAAGTTTGTGTCATAATTTGCATCCCTCCTTCAGCATGTGGTGGTGGTTTCAAATGAGTGAAATTTTTATAGAGGAATGTTAAGCAACAAACAATCAAGTAGTACATTCAATTTAATTTAGTTAAAGGCCCTGGGGGAGGATGGGGCCAAAAATTGGGTGGGTGAATTCATTGATTTTGAAGCATCCCCATGTTGTATGGATTTAAGTATAGTCATGATCCCTTAGGGCTTGGATATTGTCATTTTTTTTTTATAATAAAGAGGGGAAAATATTAAAGAAGACTAAAAATAACTTGGTAGACACATTGATATTTGTTTTTGTTCATTTGTGTTGTTGGTAAACATTATCAGATTGACACTAACAGCTTCATCAATTAATTTGGGCATTGGTATCTACATGTTATGTATGGATAGAGGGGAACACTGACTCTCTTAGACCTAGGGGGTGGGGAAATAGAGGTGACTCAGGTGAGCATTGTGGCCCATGGTCCCTTTTGTTATAATGTTGAAATCGATCAGAATATCGATTACATGTATTTAGGACATCATAAACATCACAATTATGCCCTTTTGTTCAAGGGCTTACATGAAAACTAATTTTGTTAAGATGCCTTCTTCAGGTGTAATATTCCATATAAACTTTAAATGTGAAAAAAATCTATCATTGATTTTACAGATTTCGAATTCATATCATCTCAGTCTACAAGTGCATCTAATTGGTCAAAAGATGAAAGAACTCAACGTGAACTATTCAACCAGGCAATGGATATTCTATCAAGTGGTGATTACCCCCCTTTAAAGTGCCAGGTTTCTCAGAAATTGGACCAGTTACAGTACTCAACAAAGAAGTATTACATACGTCAAGCACGTTTGGCAATTGAGCTTGTTTGTGAGAGCATTGCACCATGCCAAGGTAGAGATTTGATGCATCAAGTTTTTGACAGCATTCCAAAGGAGAAACCAAAACAAAGTGATGCAATTACCGAAACAGTTATTTCAGCTTACATGAAGGCAGAGGATCATACTACGAAAGTGCAGATTTTATCAATAATTGTAGGACAATATACCAAATCAGAACTCTTGTCTCTTGTTGAAGGGTTAACTCTCTACAAAATTGATGCTGCAAGAAAGTATGCTGCGACCCATGGACCAGGGCAGTACATTACGCCACCAAAGATCACACGAGTACGAATACCAAAAGAGAAGATACATCATTTCATTCAGTTCATTTCATCTCCAGCTTACCTGCAAGTTGTCGGATTTGGATCAAGACACTTGAAATTATCATCAGGACTAAGTGTAAAAATTCCAAAAGTGATACGAACTATGATAGCTTCTCGACTCATCACCGCATACGATACCTATTGCAAAGAAAACTCAATCATTCCTCCATCAAGAGCAACCCTATATAAAATCATCAAAGCATGCCCTGCCTCTCAACTGAAGTCTCTGCATGGATTGGACAACTACATCAGTGATGGAATGGATGGTATTGATACATTGAAGAAATTGATATCCAGTCTTGCTATGAAGGGTCTTTCAGAGAGCAAAGTTGCTGAAATCCAGAAAATGATGGAAACATTGAAGGTACATCTGAAGAATGAGTTCAAAAGTCACATCTCCCCTTCTAGTGACTGCATTCATCACTGTACTCAGTTTGCATTGTCCGAAAAGGAATGTGATCATGTGCATAATGCCAGCTGCCAGTTATGTGAAACTATGTATCATGTGAAATTGGAAATTGCTGATCTCGTAAAACGTACAACTTTTAACAGCACTCAAGACAAAGAAGAAACAAACCACGATTTTGAGTTGGCAATAGAAAAGATATGGGCATGGAGAGATCATTCAATTAGAACAGTGAACCAGGATCTGTGCAGAGAGAATATCATTCAGAACCTACAGGAACATGAAGTGATGATCATAGCTGACTGGGCAATGAAGTATTTACCACAAACTTTTCGTGAAACACAGTCCGAGTGGTTTGGCAAGCAGGGTATCAGCTGGCACATGATTTGTGGGATTCTTTGTCAGGCACAGTCAACAACAGAAGATAAAGAAGACCAGAAGAACGTTGAGATAGTTTCCATAGTGCATCTTGTGGAAGAGGGTAAACAAGGATGGCACTTAGTTAGTCAAATTTTCAGCAATGCTTTCAAAGTGTTGAAGTCCATCCATCCACATCTAAGGGATGCATACATCAGATCAGATAATGCGGGTTGTTACCATTCCTTACCAATGCTGTCCTTTCTCTGGAAATTCCGCAATGAATTGCCACTAGTTGTAAAGCAGTATGATTTCAGTGAAGCACAATCTGGCAAAGACTTGTGTGACTCGCGAACAGGATCCTGCAGGCTTCACATGCTGAATTACATCAATGAAGGCCATGACATCACAAACACTTTGCAAATGAAGGAGGCACTTGAAAGTCATGGTGGTATAAGAAACACCTATGTTTCCATTGTTAGCCCAACATCTCCTATTGATACACAGCCAATACTTTGTGGGCAGTTGAAGAATTTTCAGATCTCCAAGTATAACAATTTCAGCTTTGAAGATGAAGGACTTAGGGCTTACAAAGCTTATGGAATTGGAGGAGAGCTGATAAATGCTTCAGATATTTCCAGGATTTCCGAGCAACTGTCATTAGCAGATGAAAAGTTGGTAAGATGCATTAAATTACTTTGTAGAATTTTTTCAACCAATACTTTTTGTTCAAGATTTTGCAGCAAATTGCTATGATGATGGTATATTAAATGCATCAATTATATTTTCCATAGGTATTTTCTGACCCAAAACAACCAGATTTCAAAGCAGCATATATAAGGGGGAGCACAACCAGAGACAACTTTTCTTGCATTGAACCAGATTGTATTCGGGTGTTTAAAAAAGAAAACCAACTGATTCACCATCTTGCTGTTGGTAAGCATGTGTATGATGATGAAAATTTGGACAATCTGAAAGACAGGAGCATGCGAATTTGGTCTTCCCAGTGCCAGGAACTGCAACTGAATCAACCTGTATCCTGCTATGGTGTGGAAATCTCAGAATCCAATTTTTTTGCTGAATGCCCTGGATATGCATTAAAAAAGAGAAAAAAAGCAGTCCGCTTCTCTCCAAAGGTGAAGAACTATCTATCAGTGTTATATAATCATGGAGAAGAGTCTGGGAAGAAGCCTAGTCCTTTCACGATCTCCAAACAAATGAGATGCGAGACAGATGTCGATGGGAACTGTCTTTTTTCACCAGCTGAATGGCTTTCACATCAACAGATTAGAAGTTTCTTTGGAAGTTTATGTATGAAGAAGCAGAGAGAAGCTGAAAGATCTGGAAAATCCCCTGACATAAAAAAGGATGATAATCTTGAAGAGGATGAAGACCTTCAAAACATTATCAGTGATTTGGTGGCACATGAGCATCAGAGTTTACTATCAAACATTGTTAAAGAATTAACATTTTGAAAATGGTGTGTTTCAGTTTATGAACTGTTACATGCTAATAGTTTACTTCTGCTTGTCAGTATACAAACAATCAAATGTGAATTTCATGCTTTCATGTAAGTTCGATAAATCTGATTTGCCAAGAAGTGATATTTAAAAATGTGGACTTTTTTTCACCTCAGTTTGGGACCCATTGTTTTTCACTCATTTTGCCAAACTTTGAGTGCAGTATGTAGCTTCTGTAAATTTTAGCTATTGTATTTCCTTTTAAAGTAAGATGGACATTAATACACTTGATACTTTTCAAATGCATGTAAAGGAAGTTGAATGAGGATTGCCATATACTTCATGAGATATATTGTTTTTGTTTTTATAAATCTAAGGTATTATGAAAGACAATTGATCAAGTTAATTCTTTTCATTTATTTGTATAATTTTTTTTGCATCACTTGAAAGTCTAGAATTTACAGCTTGCCTATGTATTAGTTTGTATTTTAATATACATATATGAATCAAAGAATTTACAGCTGACAGACTCTTGATATAACTAATTAGTAATACTTGTAAATATGAGAGACCCATAGGTCACATCTTTCACCTGAGTAACTTCTTTACGAATTCCCCTTTTTATAGTAGTAATATCATTTATTTGTATGATTTTAGAGCAAATGAAATAGCAATAGAGGATAATTAGGGTCTTCCGCTTCCTTCGGAAGACCCTACTGTTATTCTACTGTTTCTTATTATTATTTTATTTTTTTTTTCCCGCTCGATTTTTGACAGGCAATTTCTCAAAAACCTTTGGACTGATTTTTATGAAACTTTCAGGTTAGATACCTTGTAATTAAACCTATTTATACCTGTTTTCAATTTTTTGATACATGCCTTTAATTGTGAGTTATTGCCCTTTAATTAATAATTTTGATGTCTCGTTTCCACTAAAAATCTCAAGAACGACGTAAGATATTTACACGAAAGTTGGAGAACTTGTAGCCAATACATTGTAGACGTGCACAACGATAAAATTATGAGCTGATTTCCTAAAGTTTGGAAGCTATAAAACGGCAAATTTTAGTAATTTTTTTTCTTGAATTTTTGCTACTTTTTGTGTAATAACTTTTGAACCGAGAATAATTTGGTAAGAAATATAGAACAAAAGTTGTGTGTAATTACGAGAGCTTTCATATTAGATTAATGAAAAAGGGGCTGGCCCCTATAATTAGGGGTTAATAGCTCATACACGTTTTTTCTGATAGCTAAAAATATTGGTATATTATGAAAAAGTTTGACTGAAATAATTTCGAACATATAAAATCTTGTCATTTGATATAAAAAGAAATAAACTTCCAGCTATATTTCATTGTTTTTTTTATATAAAACAAGTACATGTTTGTGAGAAACCTTTCAGGAACAAGTTGTCTATACTAATATTATAGCCAGCCAAGCCTTTTCTGCATAAATGTGCACATTTTTAGTTGATGCATCTAAAATATATAGATTTAATTCGGTGTTTCTTTGTTTTCTTTTTATTCAAATAATTTCAAAATGTGATGATGTACACAACAATAATTAGTACCTAGTTTAGAGGATTTTTCGTGCTTGTTTGTAAACAACGCGCGGCATTGTGGGAAATAGGAAGGTACTAAAGACGCGATGTACTAAACACTCCTTTAACCTGATTCAAATTTGTCTGTTAATGTTCCAAACAAATGAATTTTTGTATAGCATATGCCTCGAAGTCATAACGTCTGTACCTAAGTAATTTAAAATACTCAATATTACCATTTGATTAAAAATTAAAAGGTCAGGTTAATATCAGGTCTCTAGTATATCCCGTTTTTAGTGTGCCCCTTCGAGTCGACGTCGGACACATGTTTGTCATGGTTTACAAACTGAAAATAGAATGATTTGTGAAGTTGAACATTTTCTCACGAAGAATCCGTTTGTAAACATACACACTCATTTAATCTGGAGCTACGAAGTACTTTGTCACTTCTCTGGAACATTATTCTAAGCAGAATTATCTCGATTCATATATTCTAAGAATCTTGTGTGAATTGTTTACGAGGAAATTCTGACTGTCACATTAACAAGGATGAACACTCTTGACTCGGCTTCGGATTCCCCAGTGATAATTTTATCGAGTGCCGAAAGAGCTGACGGCGACATTTTAATGAATGATTGGCTTGGACCATTGGAATGAAGGTTAGAATATTTTTATTACTTATAATTTACACTACTGATTACATGACAGTGACGTACATTGATGTTATTAGAAATACACAGACACACCGATATATTATCTGTTTTACAGTTCAGACGCTCTCTGTTTGCCTTGTAAATCCCCACAGCTTTATATTTTATTTTTTTTTTAATTTGAGGATGTAATTTCAACAGTCCTACTATCTATCATAGTGATCATACTCTATAATTCAAACTGCACTTAATGTTACAGAATATATTCAACTAATTATATATTGACAGTGTGACTGTAAGGGTGAGGACAGATACTTATTTAGTTTTAATTTAGATTGTGCTTGTCAAGCTGCATTTGACATTTGGTGCATCCATGCTCAATGTTCACACTGAGAGTATATTCAAATGTTTAAATGAATAAACTGCTCGTTAAATTACTTCCCATTAGCTCCATGTGAACGTGAGTAAGGATAGCTAGATTTAATTCAAATTAAATAGAAATGAATTTTGAATGTTGCTTAAACATGTTAAAGAAGCTAAGCACTGTGTGTCCAAAGTATACTGCGGAAAAATTGTGTGGAGCAATGTGCAAGTCACAATCTTCTTTTGCCAAGGTGTTACCATAAGAGCTCGCATTATGGGCAGGGATTTGTGCTGCTGTCTGGACTCGCTATAAATAGATGTTCTCAAAAAGTCTTAATTATTTAATATCATACTTTACTGACAAAAAAGGATAAATATTGCTCAGTTAAATTGCAAAAGAAATTTGTTTAAAAAAATTGTAATAATAGAAAGTTTGCTTTTTTTGTTTGATAAGACTGCTGTAATGGTTTAATGTTTGTTTATTTGCCTTAATCATACATTTTTCTGTCATTTCATGGTGCCACCACTTGGGATGGTATTAGCTGCAAATATAGACTTGTACTCAGCACTCATTACCTTTAAGAAGTAGGAGATCCATTTTGTGCTAACACCTACCCTGACACAGAATCTTGGTTTATGCAGTCTCATAGGAGTAACCTGTCTAAAGCATTTAGCAAGGGGATTGGAACCTGCGACGTAAGGTTCAACTTCTTATTGATACTTTGATGTATAATATTTATTTGAGAATTTCACTCATTCACATACTTAGAGATATTGATATTTATTATACCTTTACTGTAATTACTCTATATAAAAGTAATACCATAAAACCATCTATTTCCCCGAAAAGAGACAATTTCCCTCATCTGGAGACTACTCCCTGAAAACAGGGCTACTCCCTGGAAAATCAGAGCTACTCCCTGGGACTACTCCCTAATGAATATTTATTAGTAATTTTGACCAATCAGAGTGTTCAGTGGGCAGAGCGTTCAAGGAATCTCGAGTCTGTGACGTCATGTTATTAGCAATGTAACTATGACGTCAAAACATTTCGACATGCGATGTCAAAATCATACTTGAATTCTAGCGAAATGAAGACAACGTTAATTCTTCGAAATGTCAGTGAAAAAACTTTTGTAATTGGAAAATTATTGAATTGTTTAAGGACACGATGCATCACTCATCATACAGTCTGTTTAACATGCGTTTGTAATTATGCTTCTGCAATTTATCTTTAAAATGTCGGAATATCTGGTAAAAAAATTAAATTGCCTATGATTGTTTCGGTATAATAAAACAGTTATGTAATGTGAACTCGAAATTTAGATTTATTTCCCCTCGGCAGGAAACTTTTCCCTCTTTTTCAACCATAAATTTGCTATTTCTTCATTCCCATTCCATAACTGTATAATATTGTTGAATAGCATCAATTTTAACCTTTAATTAGCTAAGTAAACATGTACTGTGAGTTTTTTAAGGTCTCATTCATTTTATATGCCAGATGCATGTTAAGGAACATTACTGCATAAATGTTTTTATCTTAAATTTAAAGCTTTTTACTAAAATAGAGATATGTTAGTTTTAACCCTCTTCAAATTAGGGTAGACCTTTACTATAAACTCAGCAATGTGATAGTGTTGTGTGAACTTGTGTTAGCGAAACAGTGTGTTGTATGAATTTGTGTTAGCAAGGCAGTGTGTTTTGTGAACTTAATTGTGTTAGCCTGACAGTGGGTTGTGTGAATTCTTGTTAGTTTGACAATGTGTTGCATAAACTTGTGTTAGCGGGACAGCGTGTTGTGTAAAATTGTGTATAAAGTGTAGGTGTGACAGTGTGTTGTGTAAACTCGTGTTAGCTAGACAGAGTGTTGATTGAACTCGTATTAGCGAGACTTCGTGTTGTGTAAACTGGTGTTAGTGAGACTGCGTGTTGTGTTAACTCGTGTTAGCGAGACTGCGTGTTGTGCAAACTCATGTTAGCAAGACAGCGTGTTGTGTGTATTCTTATTAACGAGACAGCATGTTTTGTGAATTTGTGTTAGCGTGACAGTGTGTTGTGTGAACTTGTTATCCTGAAAATTTGTCGTGTGAACTGGTGTTAGAGAGATAGTGTGTTGTGAGAACTCGTGTTAGCAAGATTGCATATTGTGTGAACTCGTGTTAGCCAGACTGCGTGTTATGTGAACTCGTGTTAGCGATATTGCATGTTTTTTTAATTTGCGTTAGCGTGACAGTGTGTTGTGTGAACTCTGTTAGCCTGACAGTTTGTTGTGTGAAATCGTATTCGGATGACAGTATGTTGTGTGAAATGGTATTAGGATGACAGTGTGTTATCGCAACAGCGTTTGGTGCGAACTTGTGTTAGTGAATAGTGAGACAGTCTGTTTTGAGAATTCGTGTTAGCGTGACAGTGTGTTGTGTGAACTCTTGTTAGCCTGGCAGTGTGTTGTGTGAAATGGTATTTAAATGACAGTGTGTTGTGTGAAATGGTACTAGGATGACAGTGTGTTATCGCAACAGCATTTGGTGTGAACTTGTGTTAGTGAATAGTGAGACAGCCTGTTTTGTGACTTTGTGTTAGGGTGACAGTGTATTGTGTAAACTCGTGTTAGCGTGACAGTGTATTGTGTAAACGCGTGTTAGTGAGACTGCGTGTTGTGTAAACTCATGTTAGCGTGATAGTGTGTTGTGTGAATTCATCTAAGCGTGACACGGTGACAGTGTGTTGTATGAACTCGTATTAGCGAGACTGCGTGTTGTGTAAAACTTGTGTTAGCGAGACAGCGTGTTGTGTGAACTTGTGTTAGCGAGACAGCGTGTTTGTGAATTCTTGTTCGCATGATAGTGTGTTGTGTGAACTTGTGTTAGCCTGATATTTTGTTGTGTGAAATTGTATTAGCGTGACAGTGTGTTGTGTGTTTGTGTGAAGGTGTTTTTGCATGATTACTTTGCACTTGTATGTTGTCTTATTAGGGAATAGCATAAATGACTGCCTTAATTTGTGTAAACTTCTTTTAATTGATGAAAGAGTACATTAAAATTTACAAATTATATACAGAAAATGTTACAATATCTTATCTCTCAATTTGATAATCTAATTTATG